CTTGGACCAAGTTCTAGCATCGCGGACACAAGCCTTAAGGGGACGGCCGGAAGCAGGCAAAGCTCCGCTTTTCCGTACAGATACAGAATTAACACCCGGAACATAATTCGCGCGAATGCCTGTGCGTACAGACTTGCATTGGCTCTATTTCAATTGCATTTGCATGCTCGCGCTTATATAATGTTTCCTGATCGACGCGATTTATTTAAGTACACAATGAAAATTCGTATCCCCTGCTTTGCATGCACACGTGTACCTTGCATAATTTTACAATGTCAAGAGTCCTGACCGCCGTCGTGAACTGTGTTGCAGCTGAAACTGTACAACACTGTGATAGAGGACGTAATAACGGGAGTGCGAGAGTCGTTCATAGACGAGGGCGTGGACGAGCAGGTCCTGCAGGAGCTCAAGCAGATATGGGAAACGAAGCTGATGTCCAGCAAGGCCGTAGAGTCGAATCCAGATCCGCCTGAGCCGCAGGTCCCGCAGATCAACACGCACAAAGCCGTGTCTGTTAACAAAGGTGAGCGGTCGACGGAGGTCGCGCTTACAATCTTTCATTGTTCTTCATTTCACAGTGACATGCAACTTGTACGAGGTCTGCCCCGAACGTACCCGACGTCTGCGTGTATCCTCGTCCTTGGGTATCCTATTGTGGAAGACCGGTGTTCAGTATTTAGGGTGGACCTTGACAAGGACCTCCGCCAAGCGGCACCACCCAACAGCTGTTCAGTCAGTTCAGTTCACGATGACTGAGACGAGTCGAGCAGAGAATTTGTATTAAACTTTGCCAAAAACTTGGCACCCTTTTAATCAACTCGGGATCTTTGTCGTTGGACCCCCAGGATGTCTTCGGCAATTTCGACTCGAGAAGTTTTTTTTTCATCTTCCGTAAGCACTCGAACGAATTTTGCGAAATGCGACACTCGGAATTATCGACGCTCGCAGAACTGCGTACCGTTGCCGACTGGTGGAGGCACTTCTAAAGGTCCACCCTAAATACTGAGTACCTGTCTCCCAAAATAGGATGCCCAAGGACAAAGATGTGCGCAGAGTTCGGATATTCTTGGGACATACCTCGTACAAGGTGGTTCACTGCTGTTGGATGTCCCGTATGCAACATTCGGTGATGGTAACGCATCGTGCACGTGCGAACAGAGTGGCCAGGTTGAGGACGAGAATCACGCGTCGAGCGCACACGTATATGCGGCGTGTTGCCTGCGTGCGTGCGTGCGCGCGCGGACGTGTCATCCCCACTCTATCCCTACCACTCGACTCTCGCGTGACTCTCGTCCTCAACCTGGCCACTCTGCGTGCGAATCGCCGTTATATGTTTCACGTTGTTTGCAGCTAATGTAGGCAATCATTTTGTACAACCATCCGCTGGAAATGCAGTGCCGCAAGCGCAACCTCAGCAGCAAACCCAGCAGCAAGCACAAGTGCAGCCACAGCAATCGGCGCAACCTCAGCAACACACGCATCTTTCCATGGGAACAACGTTGCAGCAACAGCAGCCGCAGACGCAGCCGCAGCCACAGCCGCAGCCGCAGCCACAGCAGCAGCAGCATTCGACGACACCGGTGCAACAAGTGGTGACCACCTCGGCTGTGCTCGACCGACAAGTGCCCATACAGATCACCTTACCTCCACAGCCCGGCGTTCCGGACGGGCCGCAGCGGATTTTAAGCATACAAGTTCCTGCATCTGCTCTTCAAGGTGATGATCTAGTCGTGCTTTGCACACAGTTGTTCATATTATACAAGTAATTTTTATAACACAGATTCATAAAGCTTTATATGACGAAGAAATATATTTTTTTGTTACTGCAGTTATTGTTTTACTTGACGCATGCACGTCTGCTGTTTAGCTGTGTAAGTGACATGGTGCTTTTCTCTTCAGCAAACCAGCTACACACGATTTTAACTGGCCCGGTAATTTCCGCCGCGATGGGTCTTCCAGCACACTTAGCCTCGACTCTGTTGCAACAGCATGTGAATTCTACGCTGCAAGGGCAGGCAACGTTAGCTCCGTTGCAAGTGAACCAGCCCCTTCAAGTGGTCACACAAAGTACAAACAGCGTTGTCACACAAAGGCCGCCTCAAAGTCAGGTAGAACGTTCGGTATCTACGATGTGAGAGAAAGTAAAAGATAAGATAATGGATAAAAGATGAATGTATAAGTATACGTGTATACATGTACATATATCTAAATAATGTTCGCTTTTTTTAGCAACAAAATAATATAAGTCAGATGGACGGAGGAGTGGGTGACTCCACTGACGACGATGACGAAGAGGAGGAAGAAGATAATGACGACGACGACGAGGATATCGATGAAAAAGAGGAGGAAGAACATGACGAGGCGGCGGCTCGCGAAGAGGTAAATATTTGTAAATAAATTTTACGTAACTCGGGTTGTCTTACGAGATAATTGTCTGCATCAGGAACCTCTTAACTCCGAGGATGACGTTACGGATGACGACCCCACTGATCTCTTCGATACCGATAACGTAGTCGTGTGTCAGTACGATAAGGTATGCGAGCGATTTGTGTTTAAATCTTACGATGATAATTCTTTCAAAAGTCCGTTGTTTCACGTGCGTCAACGTTTTGCTTTTCAGATCACGAGGAGTCGGAATAAGTGGAAGTTCTATCTGAAGGACGGTATAATGAATCTAAGTGGCAAAGACTATGTGTTTCAAAAGGCGAACGGGGATGCTGAATGGTAACTTTAGGTGCGATGTGAATATCGTGTTGCCCACAGTAATCTCGACTCAGGGACATTGCGAGTAATGGCAACTTGATAATGTGTTCACGTGAAACCGCATTAATACGAGAGATCCCGACAATCTCAACGACGATTCTTCTCACCGATTGTGCGAGTTAGCTGCTGCAAATGGAAATAACAGTACAGGGGAACAATTAAGAATGTTATCACGTTATCGCAAATATTATCATATTGTACATTTTGTGTTATATTTATAGCCCTCTGTATGATAGAATGCTATTCTGACATTCAGGCGTGCCAAGGCCAGCCAAGATAACTCGAGGATCCTCCACGGCGTCTTTGATCTTTCTCAGGAACATGACAGCCTCGCGTCCGTTGTTCAGCCGAAGATCGTACGTAAGAGCCACGTACATCATTGGCCGAATAACAACCTCTCCCTTAACGGCGATCGGTCTGTCGAAGACGCCGTGCATGCCGAGAATCGCGCTCTGCGGCGGGTTGATGAGGGGGGTGCTCTGGAACGAGCCGAAAACGCCGCCGTTGCTTATCGAGAAGGTGCCGCGGTTCATGTCCTTGATGGTGATCTTCCCTTTCCTGGCCTTCTCGCCCATGGCGGCCAGCGCGATCTCGATCTCGGCTAAGTTTTTGTTCTGCACCCTGCCAAGAACCGGCAAGACGAGCCCCTTCGGCGTCGCGACCGCCACGTTAATGTTTACATAATTTCTGTAGACGATGTTGGTGCCGTCTATCATGGCGTTCACCACGGGCTGGTCTTTCAAAGCGTAGGCACTGGCCACGACAAAATGGCTCATGAACCCAAGTTTGACGCCGTACTTTTTCATGAACGAGTCCTGGTGCGTCTTTCGGAATTCCATAATGCGACTCATATCAATTTCGAGCGATATCCAATGGGCGTACAGTCTTTATAGGAAAACGTATACGCTTTCCCATGTAACCTGTTCGCCCATTGGATAATCGCTCGTCGTTCATAGCTCATCGCGTTCAGTCTCTTATCCGGCCTGAGCGTTTTTGAGCGCCGCGCCCGCGGCGAAGGAGTCGCGGCCCGCCGCGGCTGCTCCGGCGCCGGCGAAACCCACCGAGCGCGGCGGCTCCGCCGCCGAGACCCGCGCCGGCGCCGGTTTCACCTCCGCCCGCTCGACCGGCACCTTCGTAGGCGCCTGGCGCGTCCATGCCGGTCGCGCCGATGTCGATGCTGCACAGCTTCTGTCCCGGCTTCACCGTGTCGCCGTCCTTAACGAAGAGCTCCTTTACGACATCGGACCCGGGCGACGATACGGGAACCGAAGTCTTGTCTGTCTCGATCTTGCAGAGCACGTCGTCCTCTTTCACCTGATCGCCGGGCTTCTTCTCCCACCTCACGTCGCCCTCGCCGGTAGCACTGGACGAATCGCTGTTGTTTTGTTTGAGTTTTTTAAATTGTAATTAGCAGTCTTGAATGTTCTTATTTCGTTAATCTTTCACTTAAGAAAATTCAAGACCAAATGGAGTACAGAGGGCTAAATAATAATGTATGGTTTTTGTATAGTACGAATTATGAATATAAAAGTGTAAAAAAATTGTGCGAGTCTCCTGCTGTTAGTCATATGTTACTGGAAACTTGCTTGTGGGCGCCGAGATTCCTCCTAAAAACAAAATCCACGACGGATTAGTTAGCTTTTTCTAGAAATTGAGTAAACTTTTATTGCAGCAAAAGTGCGTTATGTATATATATTGACTGAATAATATATATGCATATTGACGAAAGCACCATATCGATTAGTGGATTTGGTACCACTAACATCATGGACAATGAACGTGAAGAAATTGTATTCTATAGACATAGTATATATTATATACATATATATTTTGAAATCCTCGATTATGAACTTTTTCACGTGGAAGGAAGTTGACAAACTTCCGTTCTCTATTTGTGATCTGAAAACAGGACGATATCGTACGTTTGAGTTAAAAAGTTTTAAGGGATTGGTAAACAACTGCTTGTGTGTGAGATTTGGAATAATAAATGTGTCTTAATACTGTTGCAGGTATTCACAAGTTCATTTATTTAGAGGAACGAAGGACAAAATTCAGTATTTAGGAAATTTATCAGCGCGTTTCGTTCAGGAAATTTAAATTGCTCTGAAGCTGCAACAAAACTTGATTTCCACGAACTGTTTTTTTATTTCCAAGCATTTACAGAGTAACTTAATGTTTATTAAATGTTTCAGATATTTTCCAATTAACTTTCAGATTTTTATTTAATATGTTGCAAATGTACGTATTTTTGGAGTTGCTAGTATAATTATTTTAAATTGCTTTCAGAACAGTTTAAATTGCCTTATTGTTAGTCAAGTAAGGTAGAAGATTCGTGAGTTAGTAAATTTTATGTTATTATGCGTCCATCAAAGGTTGAACGAGATCAGTGCCGTGAACGTGTTTATAAAAATTTGTTCTTAAATTATAATTTATGAGTGAAGATTAATATTTAGTTAGTTTAAGATAGTTGTTTAATTTGGAGAACGACGATATAAGCAGGCTTACAAAACTCACGATGTGATTATGAATACGGAAAAATAGTGTGCAATTTCTGTATATTGTATATGGTATTAGCTTCGCTGAAGACGGTCCATATATTGGTATATGGTTTGAAGTCTGGATGAATTATTTTAAATAGTCAAATCTAATTTGACGATACCAAAAAGGAGCGTATATTTTATGACAATTTTGGTGAAAATTATACATCATATAGAATATGATTAATATACAGGTGCTGTCGGCAAAATATTACGGTATCTGCGTTATATTGTTCGTCGTATGCCTTATATATTCCAAGTTTAATTTATAAATTAAACATCTTGGAATTTGCAAAATAAATGTTTCACAACAAAACTATCTTTTATAGATGTAGGTATTTATGTGTCTGCATAATGTGCGCACGTTGAACATTTTTTAACAGTCGTAATTTCCTTAATAATGTGCATTCAATAGTCCGTAGTTACATTCTTTATTTCGTCTCATATTTAGTGCTATATGTAGTCTTCCAAATTGATATATGCGTATCTAAAAAAAAATTCCGCGCAAAATAATTTCTAATTAATTGAATTTTGCTCGATACAATTTCCGCTTTTCAGACGCATATTGGTAGACACAGCTTACAATTAGCGATAAAACGTTTTATTACACTTCCTTTACGTAATAATCCTTTCCCAACAAATCGCAAATATGAGTAATTAGATTCTTCAAACATAAAATATAAATGCTTTTATATATTATCTAACATATGATAAAACTTTGTAAATCTTATTCAGAACACCATGAAGAGAAACGTTCTCGGCGTTGAAGAATACATCAGGACTGTCAAATTTCAAATTTAATACCTTAAATTTCAATTTACGGAGAAATATCTAGCTATAAATATCATATACATGTATACAATTTTAAATTATCCTCCATTACAAAATAATGGGCAGGAAAAGTAGTTACAATTAAAATATAAAATGTACAAAACTCTAATTGCATATATTAGAAATAATACCGTAGCTTTTCCCGAACAATCGCGTTTATATTTTGGTATATTTTGATCGGGTTCTTCAAACCGACAGCGGAAAAGGCAGATACTTTATTAATTAAAGTAGTTTAACTTTTTATTATCTTGATATTAACATGAATTAAAATGTTATACGTTTAGATATTTCAATTGGTAATGGAAATGCGGAGATTCTCGAATTCCGAGCCATCTCACATTTTGAAATTTGTTGGCGTAATATTGCAGTTAATTTTTGTGCCATCCGTTTGAATTTCCAAATACAAACGCGATTGTATTGCCCTGCTTTATCTTACACATGAGATTGTGACACCATATTGCGAATATTCACTTACAAAGGGAGCTTGTGACATGAAACTCACTTTATCTTACATGGACTTGCATTAGCAATTGCAAAGCAAACAATACATTTATACGAGCGAAATATCAACGAGTTGTAATATCAAATTTTGTTCAAGTATCCGTCAAGCACAAGCGTTATTGCAGCTAACAATAAGTGCGATATCTTTCATTTACAGAAATCTATTGTAAGAAATGAAAAAATCATTTACGGACCGACATGAATGCGAAATGACACGCGTGCGTTCCTCCTCTTCTGACAGATTAGTAAATTTATAAACATGTTACAAGCCTCCCTTTATTTGAATAACTTAAGCGACTTAAAATATAAAAAGACATGATGTATCAGTGTAAACTAAAGATAGTGAAACCCGCGGTCCTTATTTTACGTTAGTCGACGAGCTCTTTCCCCCAATGGAGATAACTCAACAGTGTTAGTAAATCGCCTTTTACGACACGTAATTTAATCATTGTATCGGAAAGAGCCTCGCCGCGTTTTATTTACGATACCCAGTAGATATACAGCGCGTTTTGTAATATTACTTTATATCAGTCATGCCCTATAAAGATATAGTAGGCCATATACATATTTATTTTAAGGTAGACAATATCACTTCGTGACTATCCGTACAAGTAGATTTCACTCCAAGCCTCCAGACATATTTCGACTAAAGGAGATCGTCTTTAATATTATTATTTTCAGAGAAATCGGTGCTTTGTTGGCTGGCGTTAGGTTCTAGCGTGTTCGTCTGTTCGTCGAGAGCGGTCGCGCTTTGCGCCGAAGTTGGAATTACCGTGGGCGCGACGACATTTCCGTTGCCTTGCGATTCCGATTTCCTCTTTAATTGTCCCACTATAGTCACATAATTGGCGGGCACCAAACCGACGTTCCTATTGTCGGTGGCTACCAACCAACCTGGTGTGCTCTTAGATTGCAGAGAGCGCGGCGCCAGCCATATTTTCTGACCGGCCCTCAGGCTCAGTTCCTCGTTGGAAACCGCCATGAAATCGTACATGGCTGTCGCCACACATACAGGATCCTCGCACTTCACCCATTCTTTCGGGTCGTTAACTGTAAATTGAACAGATATACTTGTAATATTAAAGTATCAAAGTATCTTAAAGACAGAGAAATCATTGAAGAAGTCCACATAGAGTTGGATCACGTAAACGTCTTTTGTAAAATTTAGATAAAAATACAAGTTCAACCTGATCTCTCTCGTTCAACATACATTTCTCGATATTTTTACTCGTGCCGTACAATTAACAATGCAACTTCAATTGACTCTGCACTCTTCAACCAAGGAGTGCAATCAAACAAACGTACGATACGAGATCAATAACAATTGTGTGAAAAGATTACTTGAAAAGGGTCCAAATTCGGGACCGAAACGTCGTTTGTTTTTTAAATGAAAAACATTGGCCAGTGTAGGTCGTTTTTGAAAAACTACATAACACCGGTTTAATATTACTGGCGATATTAAATCTATTTGTGAGTTAGATAAAAATAACTAGCCCGTTTTCTCACACACGAAAGTTCGGTGACGAAAGGTGTAGATTGTTATTTGTAAAAATATCTCGCACATTTTTATGTACTTATTTAGATTTCAGTGACGAGAGACGTAGACATATCGCGCATTTTTATGTACTTATTTAAATTTCTTGTTAGGTCTCTTGATCTCCTTGGAAATGCGAAAGTAATCACCTTTTATCTGACTCTGTCTTATGTTACTCGTTATCTTGTGAATTAGATATGGAATTGCGACGAACACGCCGAGCAGCAGGACGTTCATCCACGGAGAAATTCGTTCGTTCGTCGACGACGCGATCGTCGGCCGTTCTCCGTTCTGCTGCGACACCGATTGCTGCCACAAGTCCTCGACGACAGCGCTCTGCGTTTGAAGACCTGATAATAGAGCAATCATTAGCGACGGTAAATTATGCGGCGCGAGATAAGAGTCACACCGGTTATGCAAAAGGCTTACCGAGCGTAAATAAAACTTTCCTGTAGACCCACTTCATGAAGCGGATCAAAGCGAACGTGCTCAACAGCTGGCCGATCGTCGAGCGCAATCTGCCGACGTTGTCCGCCACGCTTAGAATCGCACGGAAAGAATTGGTCAGTGCGAAGTATGTCGACTCCAGCAACATCGTGACCGATGAGAACGTGTGCAACACGGTCTCCACCACACGGAATGTCGATCTCGTGCTCTCCTCCGCGTACTGTTGAAACCTGCAAGCAGATTCCTTTAGCCGGAGGACCTTGGGTGCGATCGAAGACTCGCGCAGGCGAACATTCGAGACTCCGCAATGCTGGAGAAGAGGAGGAGAAAACAAGATCTATTATTTTACCGCACTTTTTTAATTTCACGTGTATCTGAGACTGAGAACTGCCGCATTTCTTAGTCTTAAATTTCCGTTATGTAAGACCCATGCTCCAAATCCTCTTCTCTAGAGACAAAAGCGGTCACGAAAGATCCTTTCAGCCAACGAGAGTCCTTCAAAACCAATATGTTAGCGACGAAAGAGGACCCAGAATATTCAGACCAAAGAAGACGTGCCCTAGTGCACCTTTTCGTCTTTGTTGCTCACCGAACGGTAAACAAGGATGAAATGGATACACTGGGGCACTCGCGTGACGTTTCCGAGCGCAGCTTCAGTAGTCAACCTGAATATTTAAGAATGACTCCCTCCTCCAATGTTACCTGCTCTCCACGTCGCCACTGTGCCCTCCGATGTGCCCGTAGCTGCTACCGGAGTACGGCATGTAGCTGCCGAAGGATCCGTACCCACCGTAGCCCCGGTAGCCGCCGCCGTATCCTCCGTACCCTCCGTAGCTCCCGTAGCCATAGCTCGTGCCGTACGGCCTGTAATCGTTGTACCCCGGGTAGCTCTGTGCCGGCTGGCGAGGCGGCAACGGCGGTGGAGCAGCACCGGCGGTTTGGAAGGGCAAGTGCGGTCCCGGCATACTGAACAGAGCCAAAGTCCTCGCCGTGTTACCAGTTACTACTCTTCGTAACAACTGTTAGCGTTAACTCATCTACTGTCTGCTTCAAATGCCCACGGGTGCAGACATCGAACCGACGGCGGAGAACAATCCGTAAGCGCTTAAGGCTGTCTTGAGCCGTAGACGTAGGGCGAGGCGGAGAAAAGCTTTACGTCGCGCGAGTCTACCAAGGTTCCCTCTGCCTTGCCTCAACGTCTACGACCAAGGGTACAGACTTGCGAGCTCACGGATCGTTCTCTGCCGTCGGCCCGACCGAATTGCAGCGACCGCGTGGAACAGAAAGCTATAGAAAATTTACACGCTCCGTGTATGGGAAATGAAACTGTCGAACGATTACTAAACGCAGTGAAGCGCCAAGAACGACTCTCAGGATCGAGACGGGGAAATTAGACTGTATTTACTCCGGACACGCGGCTCTGCTGTTTTGACACTCTACTTAATGCTACGAGATATCAGAGGCGGAAGCTGAAACGAGATGAATGCCCTTTGACACCGGCATGATTCGGATGTTTGCGAGATCGGACCGACGAGGACGCGCGCAGACAACGGTGCGCGCTTTGCCGTCGTTTCACCTGGACGAGATGCCGGAGGAGTTCCTGAGCTGGTTGCCGTTGATAACGTTGCTCCGTCCCGGTGCCATCGCTTGCGATATTTGACTCTTACTCGCCGCGAACTGCCCGCGCTCACGACGATGGACGGCCGCGAAACGCTTTGCCCAGCGCCGAATGCGCCGATAGCGCGGAGGAGCAAAGTTCACGAGTTTTCACCGCCCGGAATCTGATTAACGTCCGACGCCCGACGTGCCCCCGCGCGCGCGCGCCTCCCCGCGCTCAAAGGATACTCCCGGGCGTCCTTTCAAGTCGCGAAACGTCCCCGCGCGTCAAATATTAACGAGTATCGGCATATTAAGGCCCGTCCAGATGTGAGCGCTCGCTCGTAACGCCCGGAGAAAGGCGGACATGATCAATAGGATCGTTGGTCGACGGCACGCGGCACCGCGAGAATCGAAACGCTCGGCGGGAATCTCGAATCGCGTCTTCGAATTCGCCGCGAACTGCGGAATCCATCGCTGGCGATTAATAAGGCCGCTTTCCTTCTGGAGAACGCAGTCGGCATGTTTTTTTTACGCAGATCGACGCATCTCAGACAGTGTCTAAAAGATGTGTTTGAGACGGCGTTAAGTTCCCATACAGCACCAAAGCTTCCAGAAACATTTCAGAAACCATTATTGCAATGTTGCAATGTTTCTGAAAGCTTTGGTGCTGCATGGGTTGTCTTTTAGATATGTACGTCTAAAAAGTGTCTTAACGATATCTTTATGGCGCCTTTTAGACACGCATTGCTATCTGGGATGTCGCGCTTTCCATTTAGAATTTCACTCAAACTCAATCGACACTTTTTGACTTCGCTCGCGAGGAGAGTCGGAGCGCTATAATTATGTTTGAAAGTGGTATCAACTCGCGAAAAAATTTATAAGGTACTTGAAACTTAGAAACTTTCCTATATGCCACGGCCAGTTTCACAAACGTCGTTTAATCGCTAACCCATAGTTAATTGATCCTCCGTCTCTTCTTGGATAATAAGATAGAGAAAAATAGGAAGTCGACTGAACACTGGTTAACAGTTAACCGACGTTTGTGAAACTGGACCTCAAAATTAACTGCTCGCAGGTGTCTTAATTAGCAACGATGAGGCATAAAAACACAAACAGAAAATGATTGATTAAATCAGTGTTATTTATAAAACGTAGATATCCATAGATCAAACATTGATTAAAAACACATTAGTTATTTTCTAACATTAACGCGCGATAACGTGATCGTAGTTTGTATATTCTAAATTAAAATTACATATCGTGTGCATGTGTTTCTTCAAGTGTAAAACTTTCATAAAAATTCAATAGAAAGTAAATACTTGTGTAAAACAAGAAGTTATAATGCTTCGCAAGAACAAGCATGTGTTATCACTTACAATATAAACATTATAACTCAAATCTCAATGATAACAGTAAAATTACACATCACAGATATACGTAATGCGTCGAGTTTAAGTAAAATGCGCTACATGGACAGTTACACAGAATTGAAGAAGCACAAAGACTTTCATCGTTTACATATATACCTCTCTTATATTAACAATGTTCGCTAAAGCTTTTGATTTTATACAAACTGTAAACTTTGATTAATTTGAACTCTTTCTCCTCTTCAAAGTGACATAAAATGTTATGCATATATTTTTTTATTATAAAAACCAAGTAGCTCATATCTAAAACTTACGTGTTTCCCTTTGTACGCGTTTTACCATTTTACCTGCATTATTTAAATTGTCGTTTCTTTACGACTCCTCGTCCTCGCTCGAAGTGTCGATTGTATAGCATAACTGAAAATTGGAAATTGTATGTAACACGAAATACAATGCGAATTAATCGTTTAATACAACGTAAAGCGACTAAACTATGTTAAAACATAAAAAATATTATTTCGTAATACGTTAGATGCTAATGCGCACTTCATCGCTCATACATATATCTATATACCTCATCCAGATCAGGTCTTTTCAGTATTTCTTCAAGTCCTGACAATCTCTCGAGATAATTTGGCACATTGCAAGCGTCAAGAACGAAAGCAAAATCGCGCTGTTGGTACTCCTTGATCAAAGGCGTCGAGCAAGCTGTACAGAACGGTGATCTATGCGTGACAGTCAGCTTCATTTCGTGGCTCCAAAGCGAGCCTCGTATCGTGTGAGGTACACCACCTAATAATCCTATCAGCGGATTGTCTACATTCTCTCGACAATCGTCTCTGTCGTTGTTCATAAGTGCTCTAGCTGAAATTCTAAAAATTATGAAATTACATTAAATTCGATCGATACATAAATAAAAGTAAATTAATTATTGGAGGCATACGATAAAAATCTGTTATCTTTAAATTTAGCTTACCCTTGGGGATGCTGTGTTACCGCCACAAGGAGCTCGACTGCCAAGCCCGCGGCGATTTGCGACAAACCCGGCCGACTCACGGTACACTGCAGGTCGAGCGTTCTATCGGTTTGAGACTAGAATCGGAATGAAAATAACAATCGCAGGATTGAAACGTGTCTTTTTAAATCGGCTTATACGCTGATCTGTATTATCAATTTTCTTTCCAGGAATAACGTTAATAATGTTGAAGTAAAAAATGTACCCACGTTTCCGGGTTGCGTTACATCGTTACAAAAGTAACATCCAAGATCGTGCCCTGCGGGGTTCTGCAGCGTTAATTTCGGCGAGCCGGAATCGGAAAGAGCGCGCGTGCCGTGCCGTTGCACCGTGTACGAATCGAAGCCCAAAGCAGCGTTGATGGCTATCTTGTTCGTCGCGGCGCACATGAGAGTCGGCAGCCACCTGGCCTCCCTCGAGTCCAGAAGCAGGAACACCACGTCGTGGCCATTGACGAGCTCTTGTAGCTTACTCACAGCTTCCCTGGTAGTCTCCATCATGCTCTGGCCGACTACGTGCCCGGGCATGGGAATATGCAAGACCACAGCTTCTGCATTCTACAACGCCGTATAAATGATCCTCTTCGTGAAAAGTAGCGTCTCACGACGCAACGAGTTTAACAGACGTATACTTGCCATACTAGGACGTATCCTGAGTAAAGCGTCTTTCGCGGCGTGCGCTTTGTGCCGACGCTGCACCGCGTCCTCGTGCGTGTACAGACTCTGGCGCACCGTATTGCTGTGAGAGACGGTGGAGTTATCTACGAGTGTCATATTATTGATACCCCAGCCGAGGAGTACTCTCGCCACGGAGCATCCCAGTGTGCCGGCACCCAACAGAAGGCATCGCAGACCACTGATCTTTTCCAGATTCAGATCGGGGACAAGGCGCCACTTCATCAATTTCAGATTTAAATTGATCGCTCTGTCCGACAGTCTGACGCAACATACAAAATAAAATGAGTGCCACCTATAAACCTCCGTAGATGAAAGTCGTCGTTAGTCGACTCGAACGACTCGGACTCACTTGGTAGGATCCATAAGGTTAGACAAATCTACGATGTTGGGCCCCATTTTCCCACTCACGTTAGCTTCCCAACCTACCAGGTGCTCTTCAGAATTATTACTCGTAGCTTCCGCGTTTCCATCCGCTTTGATTCTAAGTGTAAATATAACTGCGGTTTCCACTCTATCGCTCCTTACAGACAGAACTTTGACGTCGTTTGCAAAACAGTACGAAGAGCAATGCCTATGTAACAGGCACAGAAGGTTACGCAAGGGCCACCCGGGTTCTGCACTTGCGCAAGGATCATAAAATGCAAAGTATACTTCATCCATTGCCTAATGATATTAACGATTTAATTCATTACTAACAAGCTATTGGTAACAATAAGTTTCTTATATATAATGTGCGAGAATGAAAGAGACAATAGGGGCACGGATGCGCCGTACCTGCTCCAAGTTTCTCTCGTTTGATTTTGCATACTGCACGCCCTTCGACAAATCGTCAACGCTCAAGTCACCCTCTTTCGACGCGAAGACTGCGAAGAAGTTCCTCGACCTCGCATCCAGCTGAAGGAAGCCCGCGCGCAATTTATCTACTTGATCGGGCGTGAACTCGCCGGACGCGAATCTCGTCGGTGCGACCGAGTAAATTCCCGGCAGCGAGAAGGGAGTCGGGTGCGAGACCCAATAATGAAACTTGTACTTCTTGAGATCCGAGTACGCGAATACCAGGAACATCGAGAGCCGCCAAGGCTCCAGCAAGGCCGTGCCATCTCTGATACTGTCGACAACGCACTGGCCCATCGTGTCGATAAACTCCTCGGGATTTATCTGCCTGAATGCCTCGTAGGTATTCGTGTTGATAATGTAGCCGTAGCGAGCTACCCCCGCGTCGTGACTGCTTCCCTCCAGGTTTCTGAAACGCGTCCAAATAGAGCTCACCCTGTCTATCCACTGGGGATTCACACATCGTTAGCTGACAACTGTCGTTGATACAGGCACAAATTACATCGCAAAACATGGTTCAATCCGAGGGGTAAACCGCTGAGGGCATTACTGGGCATTGTGGCGCAGAGAAATGTGCGCTGTTTAGTGAACAAATGAACGAAAGGATCCGAGTTCAAATCCACGGATACCACTGGTTGTTTCGGAATTTCCCGGAGGGAAGTGGTAGCCACCGAGAGTATTCTGCCACACATATTCTTTTAGGGTTACAGCCCTCCAGGTTGGAGGGTTTCCTTCGGCAAGGCTAGCAGCTCGGTTAGCAGCCTACAGAAGATGAAGCAAAAACCAAATGCTCAAAGTACCAGTTGGTTCTGTACCAGAAAGAAGAAGAATATGTTTACGCATTAGGCCTTGCTGGGGCACTGTAAAGATAAAATAAGATAAAATAAAGTAACGCCCACTGGGCACTGCTTTAGGCTACGTTCGGGATAGGCGCTATTAGCCCTGGAAACATGAGTTAATCCTCGTCGCTCGTTATCTGTCAAACAAAGATAGAAGACGCTTTTAGTAGGCATCGGTGTACATACATGATATTGGTCAGCGGTCTACCCCTCGGTTTCTATCTAATCTATCTGCTGTGAAAAGCAGAAGTTGTAATCTCAGATACCTACTCGTTAAATGACGTACAGTCAAGCACGAGTGGATTAGTTCTCCCCTCGTCCCTCGGTTGAAGGGAGAAACTCGCCCACAGATGTACCTTGGACTTCTCGTCCAGCTTCAGCTTGTCTATCTTCAGCTCCGCGAACTTGGCCCAGAACGTCGGGTCCGTCGTCGTTTTCAATTTTGTAAATCTTACCGCCTCGGACATCCTTGGAAATTGACGGCTTCCTCGAGCCTGCAAGACGCGGAAAGTGCACCGCAAAGTGTCACGCAGCAACACGAGTGCTCTGGTAAACAAAGACGGGTGTTTACAGCTGACGCCCGCGTCGCGTTGTCATCTGTGTGTCGCGTGCGCCTGCGCGCCTGAAGTTAGGCGCGCTCGTGCCGAGAGCGTGTCGCGCGCGCGCGCGCCTAAATTCGGATGTATAGAACGCACAAACGCATGCGAGCGTAAATCGTGAAAATGTATATTCTTAGAACGTGTTTTAAGATTCGCCCGAAATTCTGGAAGAGGATCTAGACAGAACTTCTCTAAAGGCCAATGTCCACGATACTAGAACTTGGTCCAAGTTCTTGGATTGAGAAATTTGTAACCAATCAATTTGTAGCTTTTACGGAAAAGCGGCAATTTTATTGGCTATACGTTTCTCGGACCAAGGACTTGGACCAAGTTCTAGCATCGTGGGCATTGGGCTTAAGAAACGATTATTATCAGTTACGTTTCGCCGCCTTTGTTCAGCCGGAATTACTAATCGGGAATTGCGTTAGTCGTCGTTAATTCTCAACAATTTGTTCTCTATTCGCGAGTCAGTTTCGTCGATCTAATTTGAGTTGGCAAACTTAGACTCGTCGATAAGTTACGTTAGCGAAAAAAATTCGAAAGAGAGGGAAAGAAACTTTGCGTGACAAAGAAGAAAAGGAAATCCAGGGCTGCTTTCGCGAGAGAATCAAAATGATCGAGATTAAAATGACCTACGATTGGTCAAATCTGAAATTTCGTGGCATCGCATTGAAATTTTATTCAATGAAATTCCAGATTTGACCAATCATGACGCAAGGTCATTTTTAAATCTCTCGATCGTTTCGATTTTCTCGCGAAAAGCAGCCCAGAAGCAGAGTGAAAGTCCTCTATTAGGCTTCTAATATGAGAGCGGGTTTTCAACGCCAAAATTTAATCCCAAATCTTCATTCGCGACGATTGCACGATCCAACCATGAATTTTCCGCCGAACAAATTTCACTGCGAGGGCAATGAATTCACGAAACCAGACGATGCCTATTAGTTTAGCAAAATCCCTGCTGTCTCATAAATAAGTCGGCTAGTTTATTAATTTAATTCAAGTTAGCAAATAGTAAGTCAGTTGAAAAGTTAGCAAATGAGTTTGAAATTTGAAGGCGAGAGGAAAATTGCGCGAAAGAAGAAAAGAGAGGGAAATTTCAAAGGGGCATGAAATATTGGAATGAAGCTTCGGCCTAGCTTCAGGGCGCTCGAAACGTTCGCCGTTGTTCCTTCGACCGCTGACGGACGCGACTCCTTCGCGGAAAAGGCGTGCAAGCGCGTGACTGCACGCCGCGTTGAGCAAGTGGGACGATACAGGCCTGCGTTCACAATTGCGACACTCGTCCCGACACTCCCGACTCTCCGTTTGGCTTTCGGTAAGAAACAAGGACGAAACGATTCCGCGGCCGTCACAACTAAGTGGAACGTAACTCCAGCGAGGCGTCGATTTAAATTTCGCAATCTGCGATCGGGCGCCGCCGGCGAGTTTCTTTTCGAAAGTCTCTCGCGGAGTCCGGTAGAAAATCGACACGTTTGTCAAGCGTATTGTAAACTCGTGTGTAAATACAGGAACGTCTCCTCGCATTTGGCCGTGAACTTCCAGCTATAATTCTCAGGCCGCGGCGGCGGCGGCGGGCGCCTTGAAGTTGGCCACCGAAGCGACGGCTGCGCGCGCCGACGGTGCCGCCGCTGGCGCCAATATGGCCGCACGGTATCGGCTGTCCGCAACGACGCGACAGTGAGAGCGTGCGAGTGTGCGGCTGTCCGCGGGGGGTGCCCACCGAGGCAGGTCCAGGGAAACATGTCGGACTACCTGAGGTCCGCGCTCGGGTACCTCAACGGCGGCACCGGCGGCAACGAGTACGTCGGCCAGACGCTGGACATCAACAACGTGAAGCTGAGGGTGACGCGACTGATCGCCGAGGGTGAGTCTACCGTGCACGCTCCTCCGGCTGGCACGCCGGATCCCTCGGGGCCTGTCACAGACCACGTCTCGCCTATCTCGCCTATCTCTCGCTCTGTCTCTCCCGGCGGGCACCACCTACCCGCGAGGGCCGCGACCGACGACGACGACGACGACTTCGCTTTCCTCGCGTCCCCTTGTCGGAGGAATTCGCGCTGGGGCGGCGAGAGGAGAGAGAAAGGCGCCCAGACCTCGCGTGACATCTGCCCTCCTGTCATGTGTCAAACCTGAGCTGGCTTTTGACACGCGGCCAGGCAGCGCCAGGCACGATCTGTTGTGACGTTGTCAGTCTTCCCTCTCTCCCTCTCTCTCTCTCTCTGTCGCGCGCGTTCGCGTCCCGCGGGATCTCGTCGATCGGCGGTCTGTTGGCTATCTTTTTTTTTTTAAACGGCCGTTCAACGCGGGTTTTAACACCCGGACGGTCTTTGTTCGTCGGTCCCCGAGCTCGCGACCTCCTCGCGAACGCGCCGCGAAGCTACCTAGACATTCCTTTCTAATTATATTTAGAATCTATTGATTGTATTAATATAGCCTGCTCTTTTGTTCAAACGTTATACGTTACCTCCTGGCCGTTATCTGTAATTTCTGTGTTTCACACTGGACGCTGAAACAGCGTCGGGACGTGCTGGGAATTCATTCCTCGCCAAGCTCAAGTTTCCTTGAGAAATTTACAGTTCAACTCCGGCACCTCTAACGCGCAATTTTGCAAACTTTGATGTAAGGTTCTTTTCCAACAGTAAAAGTCCAGTAACGTGGATCTATGTGTTTTATGCTTTTATACGCCGCTTATGTAAAAATTGAAAGAGAATGTCTGGCTCTTCGTACGCGAATAAATTGCAAAGTTGTCAGTTCGAGAAAGAGACAGATGATTTTTAGTAAAATCACATCGAGTTTGTGAACACGTTGCAAGTTGCGTTAAAACATTTGTGAATATTTGCAATGTGTACAATGCGAATTATTTTGTGAGATGAACAGGCGCCAAATTGACATTTATTTGTGCGCATGATATGAAAAATAGTAAAACTAGGAGCGAGAGGTGTAGTTCTCGTAATCGAATCATGTATCATTATTAACGTTTAGATAATATGTGGCAAACGTCGTATCAACAGGTGGATGGGCACTGGTGTTCGCGGTAGAGGATGTCGCTACGGGGAAGGAATATGCGCTCAAGGTAGGTAAACTAATCGGCGTCAACCTCTCCTCAGTACCGAAACAAAGATTATTTTTGTCGTACATTACAGAGACTTATCGCCGCCGATGAAGACGCGAACAGAGTCATTATACAAGAGATAGAAACGTTGAAGAGACTGTCGAGTCATCCAAACATCATTCAGTTCTTGTACGTCCAACGGCTGGAGCGGGAGGAGCGTAAGGGATACGAGTACCTGGTCGTCACCGAGCTATGTCCCGGTGGCACGGTGGCGGATATACTCAGGAGCGTGTCCGCGAACACGCTCACCCTCGCCCAGGTGTGCCAGATAGCCTATCAGGCGGTGCGCGCGGTGCATCACATGCACAGCCAGCAGCCGGAGCCGGTCGTGCATCGGGACATCAAGCTGGAGAACTTCCTGCTCGGGCGGGACGGCCTCGTGAAACTCTGTGACTTTGGTAGCGCCTCGACTCAACAGATACTACCGGACCCGTCATGGAACGCTCAAAAACGCGCCACGCTGGAGGACCAGATGGCCAAGTACACAACCCCCATGTACCGCGCCCCGGAAATGATGGACACGTGGAACAATGAACCCATAGGACCTCCGGTGGACTGTTGGGCCTTAGGATGTATATTGTACTCTTTGATTACGCTGCGGCATCCCTTCCCCGAGGGTGAGCTAATCGGCGATTTGCTGAATATCGAGTTAACTGGAGCATGCGGATGTAACTGATAACGAATGTAAAAACGCAGGATGACTTGGCGGAAGAAGATTAGATGTTCCCCCTTTAGTTTTGAAGTTACACTCGTCGTTAAAGATAAATTCGGGCACTGCACAAACTTGAATATGTAAACTTTATTACAGCGGTATTCACGTTGAAGCATTCTTTTGCCATTGCAGGCAACAAACTGGCAATCGTGAACGGCAAGTACCCGCCGTTACCGCCCAATCCACGGTACGCGTGTCTGCACGATCTGGTGAAGGGATGTCTGCAGGTCTCGCCCATACAGAGGCTGACGACGGCGCAGCTCCTGGAACGCCTGGCGGCGATCGCCGAGTCGAACGACTTCGATCCCAGGGAACCGCCGCGGATCGAAATCGCGATCAAGCCGTCGCCGCCTCCGCCGCGGCCGACGCCACCGCCGCCGTCGAGCGCGCCAACGTCGGCCCCTCGCCCGGCCGCGCCGGTAACGGTGCCGCCGCCGAGACCGGCGCCCGTGCAGACGGCGGCTTCCAAGGTCCCGGCGACTCAGAGCACAAGCGGTCTATTCAACTCGCTGCGAGGCGGCGCCGGCAGCATTCTACGCAACCTGAAGGACACCTCCAGCAAGGTGATGCACACCGTGCAACAGAGCATGGCCAGGACGGAACTGGAGGCGAGTTATCTGACGTCGCGCATACTCATTATGCCGTATCCGGCCGACGGGATCGAGTCCGCTTATCGGGCCAATCACGTAGAGGACGTGAGAGCCTACCTTCACTCCAGGCATCCGCCGCCGGCCAAGATCCAATTCTACAATCTATCCCGCGGCCGGCCGAATGTCACGCGGCTCCCCGGCAGGCACATTGACTGCTCGTTTGCCTACGCCACTCCGGAATCGAATGCTCCCATGCTGTTCGCTCTGTACCAGATCTGTCAAGATATCTATCAATACCTGAACGCCGATTTTAATCACATAGTGGTGCTGTACTGTACTGTGAGTATCGAATGTCAAGTCGCGCGATCGAAACGATTATTCCGCCGGTTCGTCTGTTCCAGGACGGGTATCGGGCGAGCGCCACAGTGGCGTGCACTCTGCTGATCCACTGCAGGGCCCTGACCACTGTCGACGAGGCGATCGCTCTGTTCACGACGAGACGCTGCCAGCCGCCGCATCTGCAGCCCTCGGAATTGCGTAGTATTAATTACATGAGCCTGCTCAGCGGCGACCGGCCGCCGCACACGAAGCCGCTGGTCCTCCGTTCCGTTGTCATACAGCCGGTGCCGTTGTTCACCAGGGCGAGAGACGGCTGCCGGCCGTACATCGAGATTTACAGTAACGGCGCGCTGGTCTTCACGACGAAGAAGGCCGGCTACGAGGAGATGAAGCTGTTCGGAATGATGGAGGGCAAGGTCTGCCTGATTCTGGGAGACGCGGCCGTGCGCGGCGACGTCACCTTTGTGATATACCACGCCAGACAGCAGCTCGGCCGTGTGATCGGCATTAAAATCGCCTCGCTACACTTTCACACTGGCTACGTGCCCATCACCGAGAGCGCCTTGACGTTCGAGAAACGCGACCTGGACGACGCTCCCGAGATCGGCGGCAAGTTCCGCGTTGTGCTGAACGTCATGATAGGCGAGGAGAATGCGAAGCTGTCGAGGGTGCCGGCGCCGTGGGAGGCGGAAACGTGCGTCAGGCCCGTGCCGGATCCGCTGTTCGGTTCAACGTTGGAGATGGAGGAGACTCTGGAGACCTTCAGGACGGCACCTCACCAGGAAGAGGTAGGATGTTTTGTTATTGTTATTTATTAGACATAATTATTTAGTTCATAACATGAAGAATAGAAAAATATTGACGACAGTCGATAATAATTGACATTATTGCAGACTCAGAAAGTACCGTTGAACGAAACCGACCAGATTTCGCAACACGAAGCAGTACCTCAACAGCCGGAACAGCCGAAGGAGGAAGAGCCAGGCACGATCGAGGAGAACAGCTTTCTCGAGGCTGATTTGCTGAATCTCGGCATGCCGGATAATACCAATAATACCTCAAATACTCCCGCCGCCGCGGCGGCAAATCCAGGATTAGATATCTTTTCTAGTTCTAGTCAGAACGAAAGCGATCTCTTGGGTGGTTTCGGCGTGTCGGCGCCGCGGGCCGAGGCCGCCAATTCGGTACCTTTAATTAACAATGACGCCCCGACTGACTTACTGTTCGGACACGAGGACTCCGCGACGAGGGGCAGCAACACCCCCGGCAACAGCAATCTGAACATGAACGACCTGTTGTTCGGGCAGAGTCGGACAGCGTCGAACAACGTCAAGGAGGTCAACGACCTGATGTTTGACCCGCTGGGTGGGGACGTCCCGGGAAATCTCCTCGGCGACCTCGAGGCGGGCACCGCCAAGACGAACACCGCCAAGGGCTCGAATCCCGAGGAAAATTTCCCGCGAAACGCCAGCGTGCCAAACTTCGCTGCTCAAGCTAACAAGGATCCGTTTGCCAATTTGGCTGGCTCGCTGGGCGCCGGTCTTGCAGGTAGCTGGAACGGCACGCCGAGGAACTCGAATACCCCGCAGTCGGCGAGTCCGGCGCCCGCGAGCACGCCGATCCACTCCAGCCCGAACACGATGCACAAATCCAACAACGCGGCGACCAACGAGGCCAACGGCACGGGTGGCGGCACCGCGGACGCGTTTGCCGGTAAAGCGAAGGAGAAGACGGGCGGCGACGCGTTCGAGGATCTGCTCGGTAGCCAGGGATACAACTTCTTCAGCTCGCGCAAGGCGGACAAGGACAGCCCGAAGACAATAAATCAAATGCGAAAGGTGGAAGCGGCCAAGTCGATGGACCCCGACAGGTTGAAAATCGCCGAGTGGACGGAGGGCAAGAAGGGAAATTTGCGGGCTCTGCTCTGCTCGTTGCACACGGTACTGTGGCCGGAGGCTGAAAGGTGGCAGCGTTGCGAGATGCATCAACTGGTCACGGCGGCGGACGTTAAGAAAGCTTATAGGAAAGCTTGCTTGGCCGTGCATCCGGACAAGGTACTTTAATCTCGTCGAACATTATTACGTAATGCCTTTTTTATAAATATTGTTTTTTATATTATTCGCGAAACGTTAACGTCTTTAAATTTTTCAATAGATGTCGAGATAGACGAGCAATAATAGCAACAATACATCTATTATAATTATTAATCTGTATTTTTTTACTGCCGATGAAGTCATTATTAGAGATTAAATAATAGAAATATATTTAACTGGATTGTTCTTAGCTTTATCACTCCTTGATAAGCATTTAAATAATAATGTTATAACAGCAGAGCGAATATTAAGCCGGCGAAGAGAAAAATCAATGTAGTTATATTGAGTATAATTACCGTGCTGTTTGAACAATTAATTTTGCAAAAGTAGTTTTTAATTTGGAGAAAAAGAAGTTTAACCACTCTGTTTTTGTGTTGCAGCAAGCGGGCACGGCAAATGAGAATATAGCAAAGTTGATTTTCATGGAGCTGAACAATGCGTGGAGCACATTCGAGAATGATGCGTCACAGCAGAATCTATTTAGCTAATTTTAATGATCGTTATCCGTTATCGAGAACCTGTCTCTGTAATTAATTTAGTTCCTAGCGGAAAGGGAGCTAAGGGTGGGACGAGGATCTCGTTATCCGCGAGATAACTGCATCCATGTAACTGCATTCCGACTATGTTATTTTAGCTGTAGAGAGAAAGACATGGTGCGTAAGAGAACGAGAGAGAGCGAGAGAACGAGAGAGAGAGAAAGTAAAGTCTTCGGGGGCAGCGAGTTCGGCGAAGCAGTGCTTCGGGACGCGTCTCCTTATTGTTTCAACGCCTTGTAAACCTAGTTAAAATACTCCCAATTATGGCAGTGCGGCGTAACGTATATGTATATAACGCAAATGTACATTAAAAAGAGGATCCCAAATATACGAAGCTATTTTCGGCCGAAAAGAACTTTGCACTATTGCCCACTGAAGATTCGAGGATCGCTGTAAAGGTATTCCGTACGTCACGATATTTATCATTACCTTATTTACGAAAAAAACAGTTGACGCAATGTCAAATTGATGTAATATTATATTCTTTCTGTTGCGAAATTTATATGGGAACCGGTATGCGCAACTGTTGCATTGTGCAATTTTACTTTCGTTGATAATTTAAGGCACGGGATACCGTTCTCTGCTGATAACGGTGCCAGTGGAGAGAGAGAGAGAGAGAGAGATTTTAAATGGAATGTGCGGCTTTTAGTATATTTAATTTATGATTTGTTAATAAAGTTATTTTCATTGATTATTTAACAGAAGCACGAAATATTATACAAAGGTAGCTTAACCACGCTCGATACAATTCATTTCCAAACTTCGATGCGAATAATTTCGGTTTTTTGTTTTCTCAGTGCACAGAGTGTCTCAACAATTTTGATTTTATTCTGACAAAGAGAGTCTTTGACTAACTCCAAAAGAGCTTCTCTCAAGTAAAATTAAAGGTCATTGTTGCAACTTCCTTAGCAGCTAAGTCTTGAACTAAAAGTTGGAGTTCTCCATTCAAGAACTCAAGTTCTCCAAGAGCAAAGTTCAATTCCATTTTAATAATAAATTTAACAAGTGTATTTTGCTTTCGTTTGCAGTTTCGTAATGGTTTGAAAACATTTTATTTTAAATCTGGAAAACTAAAGTTGCGCGGAGTAATGGCGGGATAAAAACCGCGTGCACACTCCGCATTCCGTATATTCCCAGTTGAAGCTCCCCAAGTCCCGGTTTACATTGTTTTTTTTTATCTTTCAGCTCTTGCATATAACATCGTGCCCAATCATCAATCTCCCGTAACAATCTCGAAATTGTTATTTTCCCCGCTTATCGCTCGAGAGAGGAACGTCGTCCCAAGAGTACGAAATCAGGTCACGACTTCCGGGGACACTTGGTATTAGGAAGCGCTCAAGAAATCCGTTCTTTTTTTAATTCATAGGGCACTGCGAGAGACATTTATAACGGGCGTCAGCGAAATCCGCGAGTGTTGGTGGCTGGCATTGTCGGGGAGAGGGAGAGAGCCAAGCCGATACACCGCCGAGGGCACACGGACGGGGGAGACAGGCGCAATACATGAGTATGCCACGAGCGCGCTCGTGTGGACCGCGGGATGCCACAGGGGTGAAATTTAAAGGGAGGGGCTGCTCTCGCGAAAATGGCCGTTACGCACGGGGTAGATTGTCCGGGGGTGGACGAGTGACGGGTGGCTGATCGTCCGTGTCCTCCGCGCCGACCAATTGACCGAGTGCCTCGCGACGATTGACACGGTTTGCCCGTTCGACCAGCTATTATGCGGCGGTGGCCGAAAAGCGATCCCTGCTCTGCTCTTCTTAAACCCCCACCAGACGCGCGACCTTCTATCCCTTCCGTCAAGAGGTAAGGTCGTCTCTGTTTTGTGCATCCCTCCGAAACCGCGCACACGGATCACGGTTTTTAGACCGCGACTTCGGGTCTCTCTCTCTCCTCCCTTCCGAATGTGCTGTGCACCGTTGTCACGCGAAATTATGTGCCCGTTCGTGCCGAGAATATCATCTTGATACTGGCAAAAAAAAAGTGGAACAGGGTAACTATCGCCCTGACAGGTGAAAGATACCGTTATCAATTTTTTTACACGTATCAGTTGTTGATATCAACAAATTTATTTGCTGGGTGCGCACTTTGCTCGCAGTACGCGCGAACGAAGGGGAGGGGGAGTATTTTTTTTTAATTATATTTATAACACAGTGCACGAGATATATAATTACAAGTATCTTGTGCCGGAGAAGTTCTTCACGAAGTATAACTCAAGGATGACTTGAGATTTGATTATGCATCGTGCACACTGCTGATAGTGTTAGCAGAGTGCTGACGAATGTTTGTCAATAGAGACTTGTGTATATTAATGACGTAGATAAAGTAAGACGGTATTTCTCAATGGCAATGTTATCTCTTGCAGATTAGGCCCACGCTTCAGCAATGTACATGAAAAAAGCTAAATAGAAAAAGAGGCAAGGGAGTATATAAGGAAAAGTGAGGAAGATGCCTGGCTCCTATACGGGAGTTGTAATTCTCCTCTTGTTAGGGACCTCTGTGTCAGTGTCCGGTACCGCGGATGCTGCCAAGTCTCTGAGAGCGGCAAAGGCCAGGCTCAGATCGTCTTATGCATCGTGGCGGATAGTGGTATGTTTCACTCAGCCTCAGGCTACTTTCAAGGCAGACGTACAGAAAGTATGGGAGCAAGCGAGACTGGAATCTTTTCATGCGGACATGGATGTGTCATACATAGAAACAAGGATGACACCCATGATGACGAATTCCTTGTTATACCCCTTGTCAATGTTAAACAAATTTTGTACAGACATCAAAGGCGGAAAGACAGTATTAAGCCTTATTATAGGAGGAGGATCGGCAGCCAGATTTCTTGTTACGGCTGCTGCCGCCTTGAACCTTCCAGCTCTGTGGTTACCGTTTACACACAGAGACTTCCTTCGTCAGGTACATATTCGCCAACTTGGTCGCCCGTAGTCAATTTTAACGAGAAAGAAATTACGTCGCGATAGCAATTGTCAAGTTAGACGGCGCGTAGCGCGATTACACAATTGTTTCGCAATGCAAGGAAAGTGATTGTCTCTTTCGTTTGCAGGGAAATCTCGGCCGGTTTGAGAACCGCATAGGTTCGAGCCCCAAGGAGGTCGGAGCGGCGGCTGCCGCCTTAATGCATCGGGCTAACTGGCATGCGTTCACCCTCCTTATCGACACCACCCTCCTGCCCGTCACTCATCTCCTGCAAACGAATCCGCCGACGTTGACACCCCGCGCGATTATACACCTTCCGACGAACGACAGAACTCTGAGATTGAGGCTGAGGCGGGTGGCCGAGGAGAGCGGCAGCGGCGGAGTCGTGGTGATGGCCTGCGATCTGAACAACGCCCGTAAGATCCTCGGCGCGGCCGGCAAGTTCGAGATGCTCTCGGGCAGATTCCTGTGGCTCTGGCTGGACCTCAAGGCGGAGTTGCGACCGAACGAGCCCAACATCATCAGCTCGCATCTCATGCACAGCTCGCGCGTCGCCGTCGCGGCCAACGAGAACTCGCCGTTGTTGGAGCGAACGACGTATCTCGCCTCGGACGACAAGCCGTTGCCGTCGCTGAATCCGCTGCCGAGTCTAGCCAACGACATACACCGGCTACAAGAATACAGGTGGCTGGACGAGAAGATCGTGACCAAGCGGGAGGACAAGGGCTTCAACTTCGACGACGACGAGGACGTCGTGAGGCTCGCGGGTGACAGGGAGTTCAATTCCAAGAGTTTTATGCCGATCGGGATGCTCGCGCTCAGGCCGTCCGGTATCAGGATCATGGACGGTGACACTATACTAACCAGAATGCTGAGGGAGACCTCGCAGGCGTTAGACGAGACGTTTCTGGAAACGAAGACGAGGTTGAGTCGTCTGCGCGACCTGCAGATCAAAGAGCACTTTGTACCGGAATGCTACACGGATCACAATGCTAAATTCATGACGAGCGAGGCGAGGGAGAATGTATCCGCGACCTTGACGAGCAAGCTGAGAAAATCCATGGGACAAATCTCTAAGGACAAGGCAGAGTTCCAGTTGTTGAATTTGCAAGCCGTCAGGTTTCCCGGGAACAAGACTCAATTGAGGTTCAGCTCGAATCTTAAGATATTCATGTTTATCGTTGCGAAAGCTGGAATAATCGATATAATCAATATTTGACAGGTGGACCAAGGTCGGCACTATCAAGGGAGGCAGGGAGGTCCGTCTCGACACCATAATCTGGCCCGGCGGCGGCATCATGCCGGCATATCTCGAGCAGGGCGGCGAGAAGATCGGGATGCCGATTTATCGTATCGTGACCGCGCTCGCGTCACCGTTCACCATGGTGACGAGTTTACAGGAGGGTTTCTGCCTGCGCGGCCTCACCTGCCGGCAGGGCAACACCGTGGTGTGCTGTTACGGCCTGAGTATGGACCTGCTGTCTTTGGTGGCGCGCGAGCTCGGGTTTCGCTTTGACGTGTACCTGGCGGAGGACGGGCTATTCGGGAAGCGGAACAGCCGGAACGGCACGTGGAACGGCGTGATGGGCGAGCTGGTGTCCGGTCGGGCGCAGCTCGCGTTCGCGGCCTTGAGCGTGTCCACCCATCGTGCAGAGGTGGTGGACTTCACCACGCCGTACTACTTCAGCGGCGTGAGTTTCCTCACGGCGCCGAAGCTACGTTCCGAGATATCGCTGTTGGCGTTTCTCTTCCCGTTCAGCACGGAGCTGTGGATCGCCGTGTTCACGTCGCTCAACTTCACCGCGATCGCCGTCGCTCTCTACGAATGGTTCAGCCCGTTCGGCCTGAATCCCTGGGGCAGGCAGCGCAGCAAGAACTTCTCCATCGCCTCCGCGCTGTGGGTGATGTGGGGCCTCCTGTGCGGCCACCTCGTGGCCTTCAAGGCGCCAAAGTCTTGGCCTAACAAGTTCCTTATCAACATTTGGGGCGGCTTCTCTGTTATCTTTGTGGCCTCGTACACGGCTAACATAGCCGCCCTTATCGCCGGTCTCTTTTTTCACTCCGCAGTGAGCAATTATCATGATAAAAGCGTGAGTACCTCTTTGTAATTATGCGAATGCTTACAACTAAATTTATGTGAGAAAAGATACAAGAAACAAGGTGTTTCTTATTGTAATTATTCACAGAATTAAATATTATTATTTGGTACTTTTATGAACAAAACAAAGCTTTGAACAGAGTTTAAATGCAAAAGAGTACATCAAGTTTGTTCCAATATCTAGTTTTCGAGCTCTAAGACTTGGAATGTATCAATATTACAGCTGTTGTCGCAAAGAGTTGGCGCACCGAGGGCTTCCGCGGCCGAGTATTATGTGCAACGGGCGAATCCGCAATTATGGTCTCACATGGCTCGATTTTCCCTGTCGGACGTCGCCGAGGGCGTGGAAAAATTGAGAAACGGCACCCTGGACATTCTGATCGCGGACACGCCGATTCTGGATTATTACCGGGCGACCGACGACGGCTGCCGCTTGCAGAAGATCGGTGACACCATTAACGAGGACACCTACGCGATCACACTTACGAAAGGACATCCCTTGAGAGAGAGCATATCTAAAGTTATAGCGAATTACACGAGCAACGGGCTGCTCGACATTCTGCAGGAAAAATGGTGAGCGATGCGCAAAAATAAGCGCAAAAATTGGATAATCGATATCGGTTCGCGCGCGAACTTTCTTTTTATTTTGCGCGATAACGGGAGCGTGATAATTACGTTAGACGAAAATACATTAAGTGATAAATAAAGTCCGACGCGCAGATTATGTGGACTGTTCGAGAAACATAAACAAGTGTGTTATTTATCTCGTTAAAAACTTACCTCGCGTCAATTCAATTTAACTCGGACAATTGCATGCGCGTTAAACGTTTTGTTGCATAATATGCCTATTAAACATATAATATAAATATTATATCTATTAGGTTTATATACTTTTTTTATACGTTTTTATATAACAATGAGATCATCGGTACGTTAGAAAAAAAGGTATTAAAATCAGTGAGGTAAACACTTTATATAAAGCGAGCTAATTCCAGGTATGGCGAACTACCTTGTCTAAGCGGTCGACTAGGGTTGGACGCGGTGTTAGCTACCGACTCAGGTCAACCCAGGCCGCTGGGCGTCGCAGCCGTGGCCGGGGTGTTTTGCTTGTTAGGGATTGGCATGCTGCTCGGTACCATTATACTGATAGGAGAACATCTCTTCTACAAGTACACGCTGCCGCGACTGCGGCACTGCCCGGAGGATTCCATCTGGCGTAGCCGTAACGTCATGTTCTTCTCGCAGAAGTTGTACAGGTTTATCAACTGCGTGGAACTGGTCTCGCCGCATCACGCTGCCCGCGAATTGGTGCACACGGTGCGACAGGGCCAGATCGCGTCGCTCTTTCAGAAGAGTGTTAAACGAGTGCGTGTCCTTGATTTCCTAAACGGCCCACAAGTTCGCGAACCGGTAGAAGCATTTTGAAATAAATACCGAAGAGCTTCGGGATGTATAATAATATAATATAGGTTTCCTTTTTTAGTAGAAATTTGCGTTTACTTGAAAATTCACGTTTGCGAACTTATGGACGGTACATTCACTTTGATTTCTAAATATCTACAATGTTTCCATGTTCCAGAAGGAACACGAACAACGTCGTAGACGTAGAAGTAAAGCGCAGTTCTTTGAAATGATTCAGGAAATTCGGAGGTGAGTTTCAAGTTTGTCAAAAAATAATCTTTCCTCTGTGTCGAGGAATCATTATTACCAAAATATGGCGAGAAAATGTAAAATTTGGTGAATAATTTATTGCGAAAAAAGCCAATATTTTTTCATAATCAAAATGAGAGAAAAACGCATCAAAGATTAGTGCGGCGAAACTAATGATCTCTCTTTCAGAGTACAACAGGAAGAGAAGATCGAGACGGTACCCGAAGAACCAGACGCCAGCAAGACGGTGAAAAAGGACGAGAAATTGGGAAAGGATAGAGAGAGGAGCCGTAGCAAGAGCCCGCTGATGCCTCGAAGCCCGAAGCGATCGGAGAAGAGCAGGAGCTCGACGAATCTATCGGCATCTCGCCTCGGATTGTCGCCGGTGAGTCTCGACGCGCCGATAAAGCCGCGCGAGTTCACGCTCAGCAACACCAATTTGCGCGCGAGGAGCCCGCTAGAGACGGTAGGCCGTAGATTGAGCCACGGGGACGGCGGTTCGCCGCCGCCGCGCCTCAGCAGCTTCGGGGGCAGCGCCAATCTGCGCCCGTTAGCGCCTACCAGGAGCGACTCGACCGGCGGTGGCACGCCGACCGTCCGTCGCGATTCCGCGGCCGGGGGTGGCGGCGTGCCGACGCCGAGATACTCCCGCAGCCCGGCCAAGCGAGGCCAGTCCTTCCCGGTGTTCGCGACTCTGAAACCGCCGCCGCACTCGGCCGGCTACCAGGCGTCCAGAAGCCCACTGTTGTCGCCCAACAGCGAACTCACGTCTGCCATCGGGAGGAAACTGTCGCGCGAGTGGGGCTCCGGGACTATTGACCTCACCAGGTCATCGGAGGCTATAGGCAGTGGGAGTGGCGGCGGCGGGGGTGGTGGTGGTGGCAGTCGTGGTTCGACGTATACCCTGAACCAGGAAATGACGCTCTCCTTGAGTCGCTCCGCGGGCGAGGAGAGGGCCCAGGAGGAAGCGTTGCCGATCAAGAAGCCCATACGGCGCGCCAGGAGCCACGAGAATCGCGACAGCGGTAAGCTGATGGCGGACCTGCCGTCACCGAGATTGACCCAGCCGGTGGTGGGCGGCCAGTTTGTCAGCGAGCGAACCAAGAAGCAGCTGGACTCGGAGCTCAAGGCCATCTTAACTGCCAGGGCCCACCACCAGGAGCTGCATCCCCCTTGATAGGAGACCGCCCCGTATTAAGGAAGAGTTCTTGAAAGCAGCTGGGCTTTTGGAGGATCGCTAAGCCTTTGAGGGGCTTTGATTGATTTTAAGCAATATCAGATTTATAGGTCAATTTGTAGAGGAATCCGACAGTTTATCAGAGAAATTAACAACTAGCCAGGGGCACACGGGGCGACGCGAGTAAACGGGAGGAATTTTCTGCTGTTGGAATGGGGGGGGGGGGGGGGAATGGGGTAGAGAGAGAACGTAAGAAGGTCTCTTTGATTGTTCATACGTTGTTACGTACATTGATAATATAGGCTAAACAAAAGTGCTATAAACTCTAGTAGAGATGTCTTAAATAAGTAGCGAGACACATACGAGTATTAAGATATTTTCTTGTTGACATTTTATCTCTACATTAACCGACAGCCTGGGTGAGTCTCTCTCTCTCTCTCGATTGCTATGGTACCAGATATTGTACGCTGCAGCGTTTCTCATCTTCGATTCGATTCGAGATCACGATCTTTAGCAACGTAGTGGATAGAAGCTCTCTCGAAATTTATCGGTTTCACGCCAAAAAAAAAAGAAAAAAAGAAAAAGTCGAGTCTGTCCAAGTCTATCGAGCGGGTCTCAATCCGCAACCATTCGCACCACTGATTCCTAGCGGCGGCGATCGATTAGCCGCAGCACCCGGCGCACGAATACAACGAACACGCGATGATTTATGGACGCAGCATCGGAGGCATCCATTTTCCCCATTTATCTCCGTTTCTTTCTCGCGGTGGCGACGGAGACGCGGAGGGGGCGAGCCCCGCTCGCGAGTAAAAACCTCGGACAGGCCGCGCTCTTAGGATAATCATCGCCTCTGCGGGGGCGTGTAAATATCTCGAGATATACAGACTGTCGTTCCTTCAATCCCCTCGTCTGTGCGAGTACTGTAAATACTGGCGGAACTCTTATTCCGGATACTCTCGCCTCGTAGGCAAGGCGTTGGCGCGTCATAGCGAAGGTTGAGAAACGCTGCCTCCACCGAACCCTCGTCGAATTGGACTACATACTGCCATACTTTAATAATTTCTGTGACTGCGGAAGGAGAGAGAGACTCGCTCGATGGACTCTCGGCGTAGAATGACCACTTACCGCGAGATAATATGCATTAAAGAAAGAAAAATCACATAAATTATCGCGCCAGGCGGGGAAAGGATCTGCAAAAGCCGAAACGGAATTCTAACCGCGGTCCCTTAACGTTAATTCGTAATCGCGGGTTATTCGATACCGGAGATCGGGCCCGGCGAGAAGGGCTGGGGGTGGGACAGGAGGATCTCCTTTTTCTCGCAGCCACGTCGCGGATCCCATCCGCGACCTTCGCAATTTATCTTCCGAAGCGGTGCCAAGCCTTCAGTAATTAACTTGGCGGCACGGGATGTGTAATAGAATGTATATTTTAGCTAGATAAGCGCCGGGGTCCGATATTATGCGGTAACCTCGTTCGTTCGTTCGTTCGTTCGTTCGTTCGTTCGTTCGTTCGTTCGATCGCTGCGCGACTCGGTAGAATTCCCGAGCCTCGCGGCCGGCGAGTTCACCGGGAACTCCTTCCGACGGATTTTACTAGACTGATAGGCGAGATTTTATTCAGGAATTGTAAATGAAACATTATCGGAATTGAATAATTGTTACTGAATCGATGTGCATGTCTCCCATCTTCGTCTATCGAATTCTCTCGATTCACTCGATGAAAAAAAGGGGGGGGGAGGGCGAAAAACTCACGTCTAGTCTCATATTGTTTATTCAACTTAGCCAGTAGAACGTGGATGTGCGCAGGACTAAAGAAAAAGAACAAAAAAAAAGAACAAAGGAGGAGCAGGACGAGTTTCGAGTTAAATTACTTTAAAGAGACCGGGAAGATTCGTATGAGCGAGGCCTTAGAGGAGTAGTCGTATCCGCCCAAAAAGAAAAAAAGATGAAGAAGATACTTTACTTAAAAAAAAAAAAAACTAGTACTGTGTACTGTACTCGAATATTTCACTACATTATACTGTACGATAGAGAGTATAATAGACATTTAGTTTCATAGTTCTCCTCGGTAGCGCGCTATTGTAATTCAAGACGAACTTAAAACTAAATTCCTCGTCGAAGTCCTTAGTGGGTAGGTCTCTCCGTGTGTGAGTGTATCGTGCGGCTCTATCCTCCCGCGGAGCCGCCGGACGTGCCCCGCGCGAGGGCCAGACCGCACGCTTTTCCGGAATAGAATTTAGAGCGTCATTGTCCTCGTTAAGTAGGTCGTGGCCGGTAGTCCTGAGGGTGCTCTCCCTCGGCGGCCGCGCGGCACGTGCGTCAGCGCGACGCGCGGCGCGGCGCGACGCCCCGGCGCGACGCCGCGCCGGGGTCGCGCGTCGCGCGTACGAAATCGATGAAAGTGTCCTGAATGATTGCACCTACGAAAGGGTCACCGCGTCCAGGAGTACCGCGCTCCGGGGGTTCAGCGCGGACTCGCCGCGCGATAAACGATTCCGCCGACGACACACGCACATATACGCACGCACGAAAAAGAAGAAGAAGAAGAAGAGGAGGAGGAAGACACGCGCCGCGTCTCGCCTACGTTTTTTCAAAGACACGCGGTGTCTCGTATCACTCGAACGCACCGCTCAGCTCCGCCCGCTTCTACTCATCGATCCCCCCGAAACCTTGCTCGCCTCCGTCGCGCGCTCCGCTGATCGCTCTAGGGCGGGAGCCAGGACGGATGAAGGCACCTTTCAATTCGGAGAACGCGTTCACGGCAGACTATGTTAGGCGTAATCTGTGCTGCAATTCAATTCAGGAAGTGATCAAAATACAAACAAACACATAGGGGGCCAGTTTAGAGTCACCCGCGCCTAAAGAAATCAAAGATAGACTTATTAAAATTAATTTATATAAGCTGTAATTCTCCCCTCGTAACGTGTGGGTTCTGCCGGTAATTTGGTTCAGTGGGGCTCTTTTCACCCACCTTCCCCCGTCCTTCCGACTTCCGTTCTCCATCCTCCGTTGTTCCGTTTCTCACGAGCGTCCCGGGAAAGCCCTCCCCCTCGAGAGGATCCCTTGTACATAACGTCTCTCCTCCACTAGATACCCCTGAAGGAACGCTATTGCACTGAATTAAAGGTCGAGCCCCCTTCCCCCCTTTACTTCTTTGTGCGCCAACAAGAGCCTGTTAGATGTCACAAGCGCGGGAAGATAAGAGCAAACTGTACTTATCTATCATCGTCGTCTTCGCGAAAGCGAGCTCCCCGTCCGTGATACAATTTCGCGTGCGATAAAACGACGAATTTGGAATTCGTCACTCTGGATGTGATAACGGTGTGATTCTCAAAGAGAGGGAGAAAGAGAGAGAGAGGGGGAGGGGAAAGAGACGTGTATGCAGAATCTCAAAATAGCTTCCGAGATATCCGTCGCTCTAATTAACTATCTGTACTCTCTCGTTCGATAACTTATCAAATATTCTTCGAATGTTTACCTTCAAACGTCTCCTTCGAGCGTTCGAGCTCCTTGCAACATAGCTATATACTTTATTATTATTATAATTGTTGTTACTATCATTACGTATATCCGTGTATATATATTTATCTGGAATTGCCGGCCTATAAACGTTAACACGAAGATAGTGCCACGCGTTTTTCCCCATGAGTTTCCGACGTGCGATACGTTCGAGATCGCGCGGCGTGCACTCGCTCCTCTCTTTCCACTGTCTCTCCGCGTATCTCCGTAACCAGACGACGATGCGAGAGGGAAAGCGGGCGTACGCGACCCGTACGCACCACCCTGGTTGAGCAACCCATTTTTGGGGCCCGCAATTAGCAATCGAATTATTTGGATTGTCCGTAACTCTAATCTTTTACGAATTTTACCCCGCGTAACTAAAAGTCGCAATTAGCTATTCCATCTATATTCAAGATTTTTAAGTAATACTAATCCATCCTCTCAATTAGTTCTGTCGATATTCAGTAACGCAAGGATAATTTTGACTTAAGAGACAGTAACCGAAATGTTAAGTCGCTTAACTACAAGAAAAACGGTCAAAATTTCTCCCAGAGCAGAGCAATCCAAATAATTCGATTACTAATTGTGGGCTCCAAAGTGGGTTGCTAACTGTCTTCTTTTTTTCCTAGAGCACCCGCGCGAATTGGAGAACTCGCGAGATTCGTCACGGCCCTAGTAGCACAGTGCATTAGCTAAACGTTGGCACGATACAGCCAAATGTTGGGTCCATGCACTGTGCTACTAGGGAGGGTGAACGTGACAGACGACGAGAGAGGATAAGAGAAAGCTGAAAGGAGGAAGAAAGCGCTCTCTCTGATGTCCACTTCTACCAATGTAGTTTAATCTCGGTTAAAGGTTGATTTGCTTTCCACCTTTCCCCAACTCTTCGAAAAAGAAAGTTAAACCGAGATTACAAGTTAGTCTGCGTTGGTGTAGAAATGAACACGAAAGTCAATCGGTGGATTATCGCTGAAAACGGCGAACAGTAGCTGACTTACAGTTATAAGTGTGCGATTTGCGGTGGTGGATCAATGACCGCTCGCCGTTTTCAGTGATAATCCGATTGAACCTGGCGAGAGCCCGCGAAAAGTACGAGGAGCAAAGCGAACACACACACCAATTTAGAACAAAGGAGAGTCCGTAGGTTCCGAGAAACGCGTTCACGGCGGATCGAGTTATCGGATCACGCGAATCGATTCATCCCATTGTCATTGTACCTCGACGATTAACGGCATCGTGTTAATTCACTCTCGCTAAACGGGCAATAAGATTATTCTACAAAGCACTGCCATAATTTGAACTGTTGTTACGTTGATTTGGGAAATCCTGCCAAGTAATACCACTATTTGATATTGTCGGACGAACGGGTCCTATCTTGCTAAGTGATGAATTGACACGCGAGATGTATGCCGCCGCCCGGTATTTACTTCGCCTTATCTGTCCTCGCGTGGCGAATATCGCTCTATATTCGCGCGTATTTTCGTACAAACTTTCGGTTATCTATTCCCGGCAATTTACGCAAGTTTTTGTTATCTTCAGCACCGCGACGGATTTCGCAAATTTATTTCTGCGAAGTAAATTTTATCGGCGGAACGCCAGCGGAAGTGCAACAGAATCTGCTAATGGAATGAATTTGGTGAATTGCCAGCGGAGATCTGCTGTCTCGTAGCCATTTAAGCGACGCGCTCCACTTAAATGTATACGGGACGACAAAGTGTGCGCTCGGTTCCCTGCAGTTAATTTCACACCGGCGGGCTGACAATGAGATTGCCAATCCGCCGGTTGGTGCTGCTGACACTTTGCTTGACTCGATGAAAGTAACCAATTACGTTGTAAAGTGAAATCGTTTCTTCGTGCCCTTCAACGCGTCAACGCACAATCGCGACGAGCAATTTTGAGATTTCTATCTTTCGTAGATGAGAGTGCATCGTCAGTTACAGGCTTCCCTTCCAATATGCGACGTCTTGATTTGTCACTTGGTAAGGAGGGATCGGCTATAACGTAATGTAAACGCGTTAGACTTTACGGAATAATTAATCGTAAGTGATTAACATAGCATGTGGCTCTTCCGTTCGTGTAACTCGCTAAGGAAAAGAAAGAGAAAATGGGTTACCGTGGCGTGTACCTCGTTTCTCGACGCTGCACATCAATTTGATAAGATGCGAATCGCAACGAGGCGACAATTTAATCCTCGAACGGTCGTGCTTCAACTCATCACTTATTACTGTTCTTCTCTCTTCGTACAATTTAGCGATCGACGTTGCAGTTTTACGCGCGAGAGGTGATAAAAAACGACGGAGAAAACGCGAGCTCTCAAGTATCGACACTCTCTAAAAGTTAATCAGCGGATTCCCAGCAAACACCAAGTAACAGTTACATAACATCAATTTATAATTGATAATTCGTTTATTCCTAAAGAGAGAGAGAGAGACTAAGTCTAGAGAGTGGACTGCAGAACTTTTTATGAAAGGAGTTCAATCTTCTTTCTTGCCTCACACAATTTTTCTTTCTTATCGCGAAAGACAGTCCGTTTCCATATATCATTTCATGAATAATACTGTAACGCTGTAATGTAATATGACAATGCGTGCTATATTACATTTACATTGTCGAGTAGGAGATTATAACATTGATGTTACGTAACTGTTACTTGGCGTTTACTGAGTTATTGCTGAAAACTGCGATTTGCAGTGGTACAACTGTAAATCGGTGACTATCCACTATTTTCTCCCAGTGATAATCCACCGATTGACTTTTAGGCCGATATTCATAGTCAGAGCTTACATTCAAGACCGTCTTGAATTTATCTAAAGGTGCTGCGTGGAACATTTCATTGGCTATGGAGTATCTGCAGATGATCTTAAGACAGTCCTGAAGACTTGAATACAGGCATTAGAGAGTACGAATATCAGAAGCGACGAGGCGTCTGACGCCGGGATACGATACTCGCGACGTGTCCGTGGTGTTCGAGTTACCTGAAGTACGCACGATGAAATTGCGCGGATCCCAACAACTCGAGTTGCTCGAGGATTAAATCGCCCAGGTTTTACACCTGGAGGAGACGGTCCGGGAATCGTCGCCCCGGTCCGGCTCCTCCCGACGATTAGCGACCGATAGCTCGGCGTCGTAGCGACACGCGACGCGATGAACGAAGGAACAGACGCCACGAGGATCCCTTCCAGCCGCGGTGACTTGTTGGCGTACGACATTAGGATAGGTTCCTCGTAACCTACCTCGTCTCTCTTGTTACGCCTACTGCTACACTGTTATTGTTGATGAAAACTCCATATTAATAAGAAATAAATATATTATCTCAAAGCGTAGTTATAATATATACGTAATGTACAATAAATACATACGAGCGCGTCCTCATCCTCGTCCTCTTATCTTTTCATCAAACGTATATCAAGAGAAACGAAAACTTATCGTCTATACCCATCTCTGAATACAACAGCATCTAAATTTTCTCTTATCTCTAATCCGTCTCAGGCAACAAAAGATATATGTACAATGTTATATAATTTGACTAATCATTTGCACAAGTCGGTGATAATGAGTTATAAATAACTTAGATCATTCGTACACAACCATCCAGCACAATATTACATACTAAAGTCAGAGCCGGGACTAGGGTGTGGCGAACGAGGCACTTGCCTCATATAAAAGATTTCTAGGGGCGCAAAAATGGCAATTGTTCTCGTAATATTAATATTTGTATATTAAATATAACTAATTAAAGTTACTTTTATTACATTTTATACGCCGTAAAAGAAATTTTTTGTTACTGAAGGGCGCACTTTTTCCCTTGGCCTTGAGCGCCAAAGTGTCTAGTCCCGGTTCTGCTTAAAATTATCGACTCTATAATACTCGTTTTTCTGCGTGTACCATCAATACTTTGTACAAGTCCACCGTCAGCTCGCGTTTCTGCAGGACTTCGCTTTTCTTCATGTACTCGTGTATGAACTCTTGCTTGAAGTACTTCGCTCCGCCGGCTGGCATCTCGTGCAGAAATGGAAAGCTGGACATGACAGTGGCTGTTGAGATTACGAAAGAAAAGGGGATTAAAACGCGGACTTGTATCGAAGGAATATGAAAACTGCAAAGGAAGAGTCTTTAAGGGTACTCACACAGAAAATCGCTCGGCTTCTTGCCGACGAGGCTCATCTCCCGGTTACTGCAATGTCGAACCTGAAACCCGATGCTTCTGAGCAACTCCTTCAGCTCCACCTGAGGCATCTTCGAGTCTGGAAACGGCGCGGTGTACTTCTGCACGTCCCGCGAGATGTGACGATTAGCGACTCGCGGCGAGGAAAGATGTTAAAGAAATAAGTAGACACTCGGCGATACTCACGTATAAATACGACGCGAAGCACTTGTACTCTGCCATGTCCTCGAGAACCTTAAATATGTTGTGAGACGATATCCATAGCATGAGGAAAGTTCCGCCGGGTCGAAGCATCCTGTAAATGTTCTCCAATCCCCGTCTGTAAGGGAGGATAAACGGTTATCTCTCGAGATTTGCGGCCAATCGAAAAGTATATCAATGTATATAAAGCAACACCGTTTCGAAGATCGAATGAAAAAGCGGCTTTGCTCTTGAAATATAACGGGGGAGTTTGTCTCGCGAGAGGAAAAGTCAGGCCACTCACCGAACGTCGGTGCAGAAGTGCAAGGCGGGGAACGAGAACACGTGGTCGAACTCGGCGACGTACTTCTCGGGCAGCTCGCTCGTTTCGATGTCGAACGTCTTGAAATTAAGCACCCCGTCGACACTATGGAACCTGTTCGCGTACTCGACCATGCTCTTGGAAGCGTCCGTACCTGCGTGTACAATCGAATCGCCATTGAGTCGAGATGAATTGAATCAGTGACAGCAGAAAGGGAATGTGTGACTTTGATGGCACTTTGGCCGAAATCGAGCTCACAAATGAATCCTCCCAGCAAACACAGTAATGTAACATATATGTATAAAATACATAATAGCAAGTATCACGAGGTAACGAGTTATGTAACAAGTAACATACATGTATGTTACCTGTACTACA